AAAATAAATAGAAGCAATAAAAAATATTGTACAGCAAAACTAAGGAATCATTTTAACTAACTACTGAAAATGTCATTGGGACTTCTAATGGTAGTAACCAGTATGTCCTCTAGTAAGTTTTTGGATGATCAGGCCCTAAAATTGACGATCTACAAAAATTCTTTTGAACCTTTCTCTAAGTGATAAATGAAAATGGGTGCCTCAATCTAAAGGATTGCTGTACCTTCTACTACATTAATGAACTTCATTCATACAAGTAGTTTCATAGACTTCAGTGGCAGTATTCATATAAAGTTACATACTTGCCTAAGCGTTTTAGAGTGGTTCATATTTTAAGAACTAAAGAAATATGGTCAGAAATTGCAATAGCAATATGCAGTAAGAAAGCACAAATGTAATTGTAGATATTGCATTAGGTTTCTCAATGTTCTAAGTACTACAGAATGTTCTACAGAAACTAAGGCCTAGTCTACACTAAAATGTTAAGTCAACATAAGCCACTGTGTGTCAACCTAGTTGTGCATGTGTCTACACTTAAATTTATTTCCTCCCAACGTAAGCGTCCCATTATGATGACACAGTAATGCCACCTCTCCAATCAGTGTTGAGCAATGGGTGATGTACTGAGGCCAGTGCAACACTGGTGTAGACACTGTATTACCTACGTTGACTAGGGTTGCCAGATGTCCTGTTTTTGACCAGAATGCCTGGTCAAAAAGGGATCCTGGCAGCTCCGGTCAGCAGCACTGACCGGGCCGCTAAAAGTCCGGTTGGTGGTGCAGCAGGGCTCAAGCACCTGCCTGGCCTGGCTCCGCACAGCTTTTGGAAGCAGCAACATGTCCCTGTGGCCTGTAGGCACAGGGGGCAGCCAGGGAGGCTCCATCTGCTGCCTCCCCTCCTCCCCGAGCGCCGGCTCTGCAGTTCCCTTTGACCTGCAGGTAAGGGCAGTGTGCGGAGTCACCTGGCTGCCCCTGCGCCTAGGAGCCAGAGAGGGGACATGTTGCTGTTCCTGAGGTAAGCACCACCCAGAGCCTGCACACCCTCTCCCATGCCCAACCCCCTGCCCCAGGTTGAAACTCCCTTCCACAGACTCCTTCCCAGAGCCCACACCCCAACCCCCTGCCCCAGCCTTGAGCCTCTTCCCACACTCAAACTCCCTCCCAGAGCTGCACCCACTCCCACACTCCAAATGCTTTGGAGAATGGCCCAGGAGTCCCAGCAGGAAAAGGAGAGGGAGATGCACCAGGACATAATGGGGCTTATGCAGCAGCAAACACAGATGCTGCAGACTATTGTGGACCTACAGGTTCAACAATCATGGGCTCGCCTCCCTTCACAGTCCATGGAGAACTCCATTATAGTGCCTCCCTAGCACCCTTCTCAACAGTCCATGAAGCATCAGCGGCTGCATCATACCCCATCCACTCCACACAGGGGGACATTAAGGACAACAACAGCTTCACATGCACTGACCTGTGAGAACCATGGTTGCTGTATGTGTAGCTGAAATGGACACGAATGTTCTTTCCCCTTCTTAAGATCCATACATTTATTACATTTGTAATGTATTTGCTATTTAACTTGCACAGAATTTTTTTGGAGTGTTTTGGTTATTCAATAACATTTTATTGTCTGGAAAATAATTCATCTTTATTAGTTCCCAATATATCGTGCAGAATGCTTAGCAGTACTGAAAGCACCCACTTACTTTTTGGTGTACAGTGTGACACATTTCACAGGATCAGTGACAAAACAGTGTAATAATAATAAATGTACAGCAAGCACCACAAAATTAAAAGATGCATTGATAGGGTTATATTCATAAATGTACACCAAGCACAACACAATTCCTAAAGGCCCCAAAATAGCAGAACCAGGTAGAGCACAGTATACCACAGTGCTTTACTGTGGCTCACTGTCCAAGTGCCCTTTCAAAGCCTTCTTGAGCTGTACAGCTCTGTGTTGAGCTTTTCTAATAGTCTTTGGTAGTGGCTGTTCAAACTCAGCAGACAGCTGCTCCATCTCTGCGCTCAACCCCCACAGCAACTCTTCCCCCCCCCCTTGCTTCACAAATATTATGCAGGACAAAACAGGTGGCTATAGCCATTGGGATGTTTTTTTCACTCAGGTCCAATCTAGTGAGTAGACAACGTCAGCATCCCTTCAATCTACCAACAGCACATTCAACTGCTTTTATGCACCTTCTGAATTTGTAATTGAATCTTTTTCTTGATGGTGTTGAGGTGACCAGTGTATGGCTTCATGAGCCAAGGGAGCAAGGGGTAGGCTCAGTCCCCCAGGATTACTGTTGGCATTTCCACATCATCAGTGGTAATCTGCTGGTCAGGAAAGAAGGTCCCTTCTTGTAGCTTTCTGAACAGTCCTGTGTTCTTAAAGATATGCGTGTCGTGTACCTTCTCTGACCAGCCAATGCTGAGGTCAGTGACGCATCCCCAGTGATCCACAAATGCTTGCATAACCAAAGAAAAGTAGCCTTTTCTGTTAATGTACTCTGTGGCAAGGTGGTCTTGTGCCAAAATGGGGATATGAGTGCCATCTGTTGCCCCCATCACATTTCAGGAATCCCGTAGCTGCAAATCCCTCTACTATGTCCTGCACATTGCTAAGAGTCTCAATCCCGCATACCAGGAGATGATTAATAGCCCTGCACATTTGCATGAAAATGGCCCCCAAGTGGATTTTACAAAATGATACTCCACTGATCAGTAAGGAATCTGGTGTTGCGAGCTTCCACAGTGCAATTGCCACTTGTTTCTGTGCTGTCAGTGCAGGTGTGATTCTGGTCTCTGGCACTGGATGGCTGGGGTAAGCTTGGTATACAAATCCAAGAGTGTGGCCTTGCACTGCTTGTCATCCCGAGACTGCATTGCGATGCAATTCCATCATTCAGTGCTCATTTCTCAGGCCGGGAAGTGAGGCTACACCATCTGCAGCTCTGTGAATGCCCAGGAGCGGCGCCAGGGTTTTTGCCACCCTAGGTGGCAGCGCTCCTCCTCAGAGCATTCGGCGGCAGGGTCCTTCCGCTCCGCGTCTTCGGGGCGCTTCAGCCGCGGGTCCCGGAGCGAGTGAAGGACCCGCCGCCAAAGCGTCCCAAAGACGCGCAGCAGAAGGACCCCCGCCACCGAATTGCTGCTGGGGATGGCAAAATGCTGCCCCCCAATTCCTGCCGCCCTAGGCGACTGCCTAGGGTCGCCTAGTGGAAGTGCCGGCCCTGTGAATGCCACCAGCAAACTTGAATTGGTTCTCTCTATGTCCTGCAGCAGTCTGTCCTCCACAAAATCATCACACTTCTTGCTGAATCAGTTCTTCTTGTGGCTCTGCAAATACTGGAGGATCATGCATCCTGTGCTTGCAATGCTCATGACATGCTCTGTGCTTTTGTCAGAGATGGCAGACAGCGAGGAGAGCAGTGCGGGTTTGTGAAATTTTTTAAAAAGGCATGACAATTATGGGAGATAGATGACATCGTTGGATGGAGAACATTGCACGCTGGGAAGTTGACCCCTTGCTCCCAGTCACCGCTGCGTGATTTGTTCTGCCCCACTATGGATTGCCAAAACTTCCCAAAAGAGAGTGCACTGGATGGTGCTGAGTTGCACATTGGGATGCTCACCCATAGTGCACTGCAGTCTGCATTGACACAACAACTCCTGGTGAATATGCACAGTGACGACTCATGGAGCCAAGTGTGCATGTGCACAAGCAGTATAGTAACTGCAGCAGCTTCATGCCAACGTAAC